TAGAGCATCGGCCTGGGGACCAAAGGGTCCCGGGTTTGATTCCGGTCAAGGGCACGTAACTTGGTGGCAGGCCCCTCCCTGGCCGAGCCCTGGTCGGGCACGTGTTCTCGCACACTGATGTCTCTCTCTGCCTTTCCCTCCCTCTTCCACTCTCTCTAAAACTCAATGGAGAGATTTCCTCCCCTGAGGATCAACAACAAACAAAGCAGGACCCAGCCTGGCTTTAAAGGAGCAGCACACTGGCCGGGACGCTCACCCTGGAAGGGGAGGACGGTTCCGCATTCTTTGGAAAACTCATTAACGTAACTCAGGAGATTCATTAATCTAATTCATCCGATCCGGAGATTTAACAAGGCGCTGGAAGGCGAGTGACAGACTCACTGACCTTTCTCGATGAGAAAGGACAAACCACGCAGGAACCCTTTCACGGCCAGAGTGCGGAGAAGCCATTCTAATGACCATACAAAGTCCGAGAGGCAACAAAGACAAGACTGAAAATTCGGTCGCACCCAGAAAACTCTGCAGGCCAACAACAGCAACAACAAACTGACCAAGTCAAAAGACAGAGTGAAAAAAGTATTTCCAACTTTATCACAGGCAGAGAGCCAGCCTACATACAGGGGGCTTATAGAAGTTGGCGAGAAAACCACAAACACAAGAAAAAAATAAAGCGTACGAAGGAACAGTTTGTAGAAAAAAGAAATACAAACACACTTTAAATATATTAATAGACGCTCAATCACATAACAAAATATGAGACGACACTGAGATGCCATTTGTCACCCGTGATACTGGCAAGACCCCCCAGGTGAGGTGATGGTGCCCATCGTAGGGCCTGGGCAGTGGGCAGGAGTGTCCCTGGGGAGGGCGGAGGGGCTGCCCCTTGAAGCCATCAGCTCGCTCGTGCCCCCGGGAGGCAGCCTGGCTTCCGAAACTTTTCACCCACAGATTCAACAGCACATTCAAAACAGTGCACACCTTTCAGCGTTGTCTGTGACATCAAAATGTTAGATGCAGCCCAGTGTCCGTCCACAGGAGGCCGTTCAGTGGTTTATGGAAGTCCAGTCAATGGGATGCTATGCAGCTATAAACGAAGGGGGGCCTTGCAGATGCACAAGGCATAATGGGGGAGAGAAACGCAGAATTACTTTCTGTGTGAAAGAAAGTCAAATAAGAACACATCCGCCTGTCCGTGTGTGGGAGGGAGACCTGAAAGGCTGCGTGAGAAACTAGGAACGGTGACCTCGGGGGTGGCGAGTGTGGCCCCCGCGGGAGGGGTGGGAGGGGGGAGCCTTTCCATCAGGCCTCACTGTACATTTTCTCGTTTTGAACCCTGTGAACTTACTGCCTGTCCAACCATTGAAAGTCCAGTGCACGTGTCTGGAGGGGCCCTAGGCGCTGCTGGGAGTGTGTGCGTTGCTGGTGGCAGCTGTCTCTGGGCGGTGGAGGGTGGTGGGGGAGGGACGTACTTGTCATTTTCCACATTCCGGCCCATCGGGCTGTTTGCCACGTACACGTACAACTTCTCAATTAAAAGCGAAGTCTGTGTTTATGGCGACATGTGTCTGAGTACACGGAGGTCAGCGGTCACATGGGTCCCCTGCGGCGTGGGGCTGTCGGGCCCAGGGCACCAGAGAAGGGGTTTTCCTTCCGTTCCCGACACACGCCCGTGGCTTTCACAGTCTGTGCGCTGCGAGAGAGAACAGGGAACTGAGCTGAGCGGGTCCCTTCACCCTCCCGCCCCCCAAAAGACACATGGGTGCACTTGGGAGGGCAGAGATGT